GCCCCCCCCCCCCCAAAAAAAAAGCCTGCTAAGGCCATGACAGAGCCTCGCGGTCCCCTTGTCCCTCTGGAATGGCTGCTGAGGCGGCAAACACGAGTCCCTGTGACAGGGCCATCCTGTGAGTCTTGCCGCTCCTGTGGAAACCACACGGCCGTCTTCTGAACATCCCTCGTGCCTGTAAATATTTGCCAATGGGGGACAAATTCAACTTTTGGCTGGGGAGCAAAGGTTATTCACACACAGACTGGTGACACGGTGGACGGCCACACTGGGCAGGAAGAGCATTTGCCTCCAACTCCAGAAAGCTTGGACCAGGAAACTGGAGCTCTCTTGGGCAGAGAAGCCTGGAAGCCCACTCGTTCCTGTTGTGCCTGACATTTATCCGCGCTGCCGGGAGGCTGCTGGGGACCCGTTCTCAGAGGGTGTTAGCCTCAGCGTACCTGTGCCCTGTGCTGGGCTGCGGGCTTCGGTGCTCTCTGCAGTCTTTCTCTGGTGTGTTATCAGCGGGGGTCCACCCATCCTTTGCTGCGCCCCGAGGTGAGCCGGGGCTGTGGGGGACCCTGCCTCTGTCCTCAGGCCACCTGAATCTCCCTGGGGGCATCAGGATAAATCACACTCCAGTAGTGGCTGCTGGGTCTCATTTTAAATGTCAGCTCCAGCCTCTTTGTGATCTCACAGGGTATTTCATCAAATCTAAGACTATCGATAGTAAGAAAGCTTTTCATGTGCTCTTAAGAAAGAAAAAAATACTGGCAAATTATAAATGATATCTTTTTAAATTTTATTTTATTACACTGGGGATAACCAGGGCCTTTACACTAAGATACCTTTCCAGTCTTTTTAACTTTTTATTTTGAGACAAGGTCTCACTAAGTTGCCCAGGCTGGGCTCAAACTCTGGATCTTCCTGCCTCAGCCTCCCAGAGTACTGGGTTTGCCAGCAGGCCTGGGTATCTTTATAATTTTTACCTATATTTACTGAAATAAGACTTATTTAGACAAAGTTGTTGTGGGTTTTTTAAAAAACATATTGCTCTCATTATTACTCATAAAGGGGAAAATAACAGCAAAATAAGTTAGCCGTGGTTTTCCTAAACCTGCCCACATTCAGAACACTACTCGTCTAGGGCCTGGCGTGGTGTCACACACCTGTAATCTGAGCGCTCAGGGGGCTGAATCAGGAGAATCACTGAAAGTTCGAGGCCAGCCTGTGCTACATAGCAAGACTCTGTCTCAAAAAGACCAAAACAAAACAAAAAAGAATTCTACTTTTCTGAAGCATTTTGACCTTCTGTTTTTGATGTCTGTATTTCCCACACACTGCTGCCATCTCTGCCATCAAGAGCATTAGTGAGGAAGATTCCTTCTCAAACTGATGTATAAACTGACACACACACAGGCAATGACAGCCACCACACATCAGCGGCCCGGCAGTTGTGTCTCTGACTTCCCAGATCTCCAAAGTAGAAAACCACATCTTAGACGCAATGAAGTATGGGTTCTGAGACTCAGTCAAAAACTCTTCCATGATCAACTCCCCATGTCCCCATTTCCCCAGGAAGGGTTGACGCAGGGGCTGCTTCGCTGTCATCGGGCTATAATTCATCCCCATATATTTTGCAAAGCTAGTGTCCATAGTGACAGCAGTTGCAGGGACTGGGCTGTGAGCTGGTAGAGTCAGGAAGGCCATAGGCACGAGGGGGTCCAAAACCATGAATTTTGGCTTAGGCCAAGGGAGCTCTTCTTGCGGAAGAGGAGGAGCCAGAGGGTGAGCAGGACCCACATGGTGGGGAGGTGGCATCACCATGCACGTAGGTTTGGTTAGGGAATCTCAGGATGCAAAGACATGGGGCTTTGCGTTAAGAAGGAAGTCCAATTTAGTATGTTTATCTGGGGAAACGTAGCTAACAGCTCTCATGTTCCTGTACATCTGTCTTTCCTCTCTGTAGGTCCTGATGTGTTTAGTTCAAAGAGCCTTGCCCTGCAAGCCCAGAAGAAGATCCTGAGCAAAATAGCCAGCAAAACCGTGGCCAACATGCTGATCGACGACACCAGCAGCGAGATCTTCGATGAGCTCTACAAAGTCACCAAAGAGTACACCCACAACAAGAAGGAGGCCCACAAGATCATGAAGGACTTGATCAAGGTGGCCGTCAAAATCGGGGTCCTCTATCGGAACAACCAGTTCAACCAGGAAGAGGTGGCCATGGTGGAGAAGTTCCGGAAGAAGCTGAACCAGACCGCCATGACCATGGTGAGCTTCTACGAAGTGGAGTATACCTTCGACAGGAGCGTGCTCTCCACGCTGCTGCACGAGTGCCAGGACCTGGTGCACGGACTGGTGCGGCGACACCTCACGCCTCGGACCCACGGGCGTATCAACCACGTCTTCAACCACTTTGCTGATGTGGAGTTCCTCACCACCCTCTATCGTCTGGACGGAGACTGTAGGCCCAGCCTCAAGAGGATTTGTGAAGGCATCAACAAATTGCTGGACGAGAAGATCCTCTGAGTGGCGCCTTCCCCCAGAACTTTGCTTCTTTAAGTCCTGCCCTCCAGCCTGATCCACGTGAGAATCAAGACAACAAGCAGAAACCCTTGTCATCGATGTCCATTTTATTTCCCACTCATTCGCTGATGCTGGCGCCGAACTGAGCTCAGGTGTGTCCACCCCAGCTCCCTTCATGGTCTGGGTTCCCAATCACCCGTGGTGGAAGCCTGTTCATGCAGAGGGGCTGCTCTGCTTCTGTGGTGAGCTCAGGGCATCTCACAGTGGAAAGAGGCCTGGAGAGAGGCCAAGGAGAGTGACCGTTACAGCTCTGCTAGTCCTGCCTCTTTCCTGGGTCCTGGCCTCGCCACACCCGCTGCCTGCCTCACAGGGGCCAGTGAGGATGGAAGGAGGCGATGTGTGTCCACCCCTTGGAAAGCTCGCACGGAAGGTCTTGATGTTTTCTGTCTGCATGCAGCAGGATCAACCTAGATCTCCATTGTGAACAGCATGGAAGAAAAGAATCACAGAATCAGACCCGTGGCTTCAAAATAAGATGGAATCAAAGGTGCGAAATACACTTGCAAATTGAAACGTGTGCTGTTCAAGAGTTGTGCTTGAGTCCCGGAGTGCGGGTTGTGATGCCCTGCAGAGAAACTTTCAGAGTTTCCTGGCTGGCCCTCACTCCCAAGCACGGAACACTGTGCACCCCGCCAGGCCAGCAGCCCACTCCAGGGCCACCCACCGTCCACGAGGTCCCAGAGGCTTCATCCCAGCAGCTGGGACAGTCAGGCAGTTGAGTCCGCATTCATCCTTCTTGGCCTTTCACAGTCATTTTGTGCGGTCTTCTCTGGTTCGTTAATAAAACAAAACCATCCTTCAAACAAGAGGTCTTAGAGTCGTGATTCTTAAAAATTCCTGGGAATTAGATTCAGTGCTAGGAATGCCAGTATTGACCCGAAGAAGAAAACGAGCAAGGGGTCGACTCTCAGACCCCAGGGCGGGGCTGGGAGCGCGTGGCGCCCGGCTGCAGACCCAGGCCAGACCCGCAGGAGGGCAGTGGGCT